CAGTATGGAACAATGGTCTGCCTTACCAAAAGCTGGGCGGGGGAGGGGTTTGTAGCACTCTACAGGTGGCAGCATAACCTCCACATTGGTCAGTCACTTTATGCTTGCCGTAAAGGTGTGGGAAGCTTTTTTTCCTAAACAGCAGGTGTTGCCACTCAAAACTTTGCAACATCTCATGTTTTTAAACTGTTACAACATCTCCAAATATATATCTGGATATCCCAGAGCTTCTCTACTGATACTAGTGCCAAAGCACCAAAACAGTGGCACATGCCAGCCAATGCAACATCATTTGGGTTGGCAACAAAGGTGTCTGTTGTAAGGCCACTTCACCCATCCAAAAATGTCTCTGCATTTACACATCTCAAAGGAAACTGGAACAGCAGGGAATTTTCACTCTATATGTTTCAGTGTCTTGTGGGGATCAATAATCCCACACAGTATTTGTACTGTGTTTCAGACACAATGATTGGAAAGTGTGTTGTGGGGACATGGTGAGTGTACAAAACACTGCAATAATTAAGAAGGAAAACAATCTGTGTGCAGATTAAAAAGCTCTCTGCACATAGAGGAGGGCTATCACTGCTGGGTTGAAGTGTACAGTTTGTATCACTGTTTAATGATGCATCAGTACAGAAGCTCAATCCTGCACCCAACCCTTCCATTCCTGCCACCATGTGGCTGCAGAGTGCTTGGTTATGGATAACTGAAAATCTGCAGCACATCTTGATTTCTCTGGCATGTCTGAGTACTCTTAACAATAGCTGGAGCTTGTCAAGCTCAGAGCCGAACATCCTTTTCTGCTTTCTGTTTGTTCTGTTGTGGATAAACCTCGGCTCTTTGACAGGAAACTGGTAGGAGACCAACCACCCAGACAAACTGCCACTGCTTCTGTTTTTTGAGATCATTTTACATCTACACTTTGCCTGGATCCAGAGCTAGCATTAGCAAGTAAATGAGCCTCTCGTGCCTCAATACCATAATAGACGAGTTGCCTCTGTGTAATAACTTTCTTAATAAAATATCAAGGACAGCGCTGATATTAGAGAGTAGATTCCAACTCCATGCCAGGTTTAATATAAAAACACGATCTTCTAGATTTATTTATGGTCCTCACAGGACAGCCACTGCACACATGATTTCATAGATTATGATGCATTACAACAGATTAAACTCATTTGAAATGAGCATTAACATCTGCAGCTGTGATATTGACCCATGTAACGCTAATGAGGAACATTTTTCAACAGAATAAATATTTTCCTTTTTATACTATAACGAATTACAAATTTAGAATCAGGCAGCATGTAACAAGTTTAAGAACGTTAGTGATAACAAAATAAATGAATAATAAAAGACTGAATGTGAGCTGGCACTAAATTCGATGACAAAGTCAGTGCAGAGGCAGTGTGGGCAGGTAGCCCACAATATGCTCTTTGTAGGTTGTGAGTTTGAAAGCTTTACTTGAGCTTTGGATAATGATGGGCCGTACTGTGCCAAGGCTTCGGAGCATGTGTCGAGAAAGCAGGAGCGTGTAACGAGGCTTGCTTCTTTATGGAGATCAGTGATGACGTGTTTCAGAACTTTCATGAACTGACATGGTCCTGGGTCATTGTGAGCGCTCTCAGTTTTCTTGTGTTTCTCTATCATGTTAAGTTCATTTGTTATTCTAAGGAGTTATTCTATGGGCCCTAAGTTGTTCAGTTTAGTTATGGGATTTCCTCTCGTATCTTTACCCCTGTGTCTGCCTCTCTGTATGTGAGTTCTGGTGCCTTGTTTTCCACTCGTGTTTTATTCCATGTTTCCCCAGCCCGTCATGTCGTTGCTCTCCCTCGTGATCCTCAGTGTTCTCTTTTCCCCTCCAGTCTGCATTTTACTTTGAAGGTCTGTGGCTGTGTCCCAATTCAGGGACTGCACGCTTTGGAGTGCGTATTTGTAGACTGATTACGTCACAGCGACGCAACGAAGGGTGTCCCAATTCGAAGTGTACTCCAAATGTGGTTGACAAATGCACCCTTCATTTCCCCAAATTTGAAGGCTGGGTCCAGTGTCCACAAAATCTACATCAAAGCTCAAAAAAACACAGTATTATCTTTTAGTATTATCTGTATTGGTTCATACATTTCACACATACAAGTAAAACCTGTCTTCATGTACACTCTTACTGCTTACACTAAACAGCAAAACAACAACAAATAATTATTTTTGTAAAAACCACAGACACATCCTGCTGTTAAGCGATATACCCACAACTGTTTATTCAAACACATTACAAAACTCTTTTCACATATATCCATCACCGAGTTCTCAGTGCAAATGATCAGTGTACCCAAAAGATCCATTACACATGTAAGTACCCACAAAATAATTATGAACTGACAGTTTGAGCAAACCTACAGTAAAGAGAATTGATTGTGCTCTTTCAGATTTCAATAATCTGACTGTTTATGGACTTTAGATGTACAGATATGATGCAGCTTCCTCAGATTAATCAGAACGTGACATTGCACTGCATGACTGAACATAAAGAAAACATTTGATCTTACACACTGATTTGTTTCTGGTGTAAAGAAAACAAAGACACTCTCAGACATCGTGCAAAATCTGTCCAGCTGGAAGAACAGGAGGAACTGTGACCGAAACCAGAACAATAAATATTCCTTTGTTTTGTTTTGTAAAACTTGATGTGTCACAGTGTGTCTGTGTTCTTGAACAGATGTTTCTTTGAGACTCAGAACTCTCATAACTGTTGGGTTTACAACACTAACAACACCTCTAAAACTCAAACCTTTGACACTTTCACACAACAAGATCTGATGGTCAGTCAGTCTCACATAAACCTGTGAGATCAAATGTGTCCTGATGTTTCTGGCTGAAGACACAAGTTCTGTCAGTCAGTCTGAGGTGGAAACCACAGTTTAAACATGCTCCTTTTGGACCAGTTGTTCACTCTCCTGCTGTTATGGCATCGAATACTGTAGTTCATCACAGCTCAGCAATTCACGTACTCTCTTGGTGAGAGGTAGAAGTAGGTATCAGGAGCATTTTGGGGATATTGTGAATGACCTTTTGATGGAGGGTTTGTGCCATCGTTCTGATCAAACTGGTCCGGCTCTAAGGAATGGTTGGCCTCATTCTGCTCCCTCTCACATGACTCAGTTTCCTGGTTGTTTTTTTTGCAGAGTACTCTGCAGAGCTCAATGATGCTGACCACCAATGACACCAGTGAGACCACCAGCATGAAAATTAGGAAAATGGTCTTCTCTGTGGGACGGGACAAAAAACAGTCCACCCGGTGTGGACATGGGGCCCTCTCACAGATGTAGACTGGATTCAGAGTGAAGCCATAAATGCACCACTGAATAACCAGGAAGGCCACTTCTAACAGAAACTTGAAGAAAATACTGACTGCATAGATTTTAAACAGTTCTTTACTCATCTCACTTTTCCTGTCTTCTTCCATAATTACATAGTGTTTATTTATGAATTCTATTATCTGTAAAGATTTTTCAATAACATTTTTATCAAATTTATTATAATAAGAATTTTCTGGAATTGGCTCACATGCTCTCTTAAGATCTATGTTTTTCTTGTTTTTCCAAACTTTCCTCCTACTATAAACACGAGTAAGGAACAGAAGTGTGGGCATTGACACAAAGACGATCTGAAGGACCCAAAGGTGCATGTGGGAGATGGGGAAGGATTTATCGTAACACACGTTCTGGCAGCCGGGCTGCTGGGTGTTACACGTGAAGGCAGACTGCTCGTCCCCCCAGGCAGATTCCACCGCAGTGCCTAGAAGCAGGATCCTGAAGATGAGGAGTGCCAGCCAGAACTTCCCCCACCTACTGGATGAGGCCTGGACCTTTTCCAGGACTCCATACAGTTTGCTCCAGTCACCCATTCAGAAGGAGTTTCAGCTGGTGGGAAAAGGGGACAAAGGTCACCTGACTGTAGGACACCAACCTTTAATAGTTTATTGTAAAGAATTGAAACACGTTTCGTCAGAAATTTTGTGTAAAATATTTCCTCAAATAACAAACTAGAAATACTGTAGTGGACATGAAGCAATGATGAGCTGGTGCTGATCTTCCTAAACAAGAACAGGAACAAACTGAGATTCTGGGTTCATCTAGTTCTCAGCAGCAGGGAGAATACTATAGTTTGGTCCAGGAGTTGAAGCTTTATCGCAGCTGCTTTTGTCCATATTTCAGGATGTCAGTGGGAAGTTTAACTCTCGTTAGCAGAGTTGGAATCACATATGAGGAGGTAGAGAAATCATTTCAGAGAAACGAGTGAGCTGGAGTCGTGTTCAGCTGTGTTTCTGAGGTAAAATTCTCAAAAGATGAGTTTTTAGATGTTTTTTTTAAAAGATCTTAAGCTCAGTGGGAGAGAGTTCCACAGTCTGGGGGCCACAGTGGTAAAAGCTCTGTCTCCCTTAGTTCTCAGCTTTGTGTGCTGTATAACAAGTAGGCCCTGATCACATGACCTCAGGGACCTGCTAGGGACATAGGGCTGTAGAAGTCCAATGATGTAAGCTGGTGCTTGTCCATAACGAGTTCTAAAGGTCAGAACCAGAATCTTAAAATGGACTCTGAATTCAATGGGGAGCCAATGCAGATGTATTAGCAACGGTGTCACATGTGAGTACTTGGATGATTTGGTCAGAAGCCTTGATGCAGCATCTTGAACAACCTGCAGACGCTCCAGGGAGTTTTTGCTTAGACATGTAAACAGTCAATTACTGTAGTCCAATCGTGATGAATAAATGCATGAATAACAATCTCCAGTTCAGTACGAGATACAATAGGACTTAATTTAGCAATGTTTCTTAAGTGATAAAAGCAGGACTGAACCAGAGATTTTATGTGAACATCCAATGTGAGAGCCGGGTCAAAGGTTACCCCTAGGTTCCTGATGGACGATTTCACAAACGCCGAAAGGGGACCAAAAGGATTCATTATCTTATGTACATATCTGTCAGGAGCACATATAATGGCTTCAGTCTTTCCTTCATTAAGTTGGAGGAAGATGTCAGCCATTCAACCTTTAATGGAGTCTAAGCTAGGGCTGGGCCATATCATACCTTTCACGGTAATACCAGTATAATGTTAGGCAATGATATGAAAATGAAATATCGCAATAGAATATGGGTCGGACGGAGAATGAGAAGGGCGAAAGCAGATTGTTAAATGAAACAAATGAACCAGAATAGGTTTGGAAAAGTGGTGCAACTTCAGTGGTGTGGAACTTGTTTGGTTTTTGTTTTTCAGATACCCACCAAAACACAATTTTGTGTAGAACATGCAAGCAGGCCGTTGTGGCAAAGGGAGAAAACACTACAAACCTATTTCATCGCTTGAAACAGAAGCCCTTGTTGGAGTACAACAAAGCTGTTAAAGCACGTGAAGAGGAGTCTGCTTCAACTAGCGTGGTGGTGAGACAAAAGAAACAAACAATCGGCCTACCTTTAAATAGCTGCACGCTTAATGACAAAAGTAGCAAACGCTGGGGAGAACTAAGAGTGTGGAAAGAGAAAGGTTTCACAAAGATGCATTTGCGCTGTTAAATTTTTATATAGCTTTAGTGCACCTAAAAAACAACTGCTTGTTTAAGTGAAAATACATTGATGGGTTTTTTTTGTTGCACTAATAAAGTTGTGGAGTTGTGAAGTATTTTGTCTCTTGAGAGCCCACAAAGAGGCTCAAAAGTTGGCAGTTCGTCTTGTAATCGAAAGGTTGCCGGTTCGAGCCCCAACTCCAACAGTCTCGGTCACCCGTTGCCTACTGGTGGTGGTCAGAGGGCCCAGTGGCGCCAGTGTCCGGCAGCCTCGCCTCTGTCAGTGCGCCCCAGGGTGGCTGTGGCTACATGTAGCTGCCATCACCAGTGTGTGGATGACTGGATGACTGGATGTAGTGTAAAGCGCTTTGGGGTCCATAGGGACTAAGTAAAGCGCTATACAAATGCAGGCCATTTACCATGTCAAATATATCTTCGGTTATATCGTTATTGTAAGTTTTTGAATATATATTGTGATAAATATTTTTGGCCATATTGCCCTCCCCTAGTCTAAGCACTCATTCAGAATCTGCAGCTTATAAAATCTTGGGACTTAAAAGAAATGTATAACTGGATGTCATCTGCATAGCAGTGGTAGCAAATGTCCTCAAAGGGACTCAAATAAGCGCCCCAATACAGAACCTTGGGGCACACCATAGGTGAGGGAAGTGGAAGATGACTTGTACTTAGAAACAGCCACAGAAAAATATTGTTCATACAAAAATGACGAGAACCAGTCTAAGGCAGATCCAGATACACCGAACCCATACTTCAGCCTTTCAAGCAGAATGTGGTGGTCAACCGTATCAAAAGCCTGACGCGAGGTCCAACATCAGCAGAACAGAACATTTTCCTTTGTTTTCCTCGTTTTTCATCAAAATGTCACTGGTTACTAAGAAGGGCTGTTTCAATAGAATGGGTTCTACGAAAGCCAGACTGAAACATGTGCAGAATGCTGTGTTTGTCTAAAACTGCTGTGAGGTGCTTAGCCACAACCCTTTCTACAATCTTAGCAATAAACGGTAGTTTTGAGATTGGTCTGCAACTGCTAGTAAGAGAAGGGTCTAACTTGTTTTTTTTAAAGAGGTTGTATGACAGCATTTTAAAAATAAGCATGAACTTTACCAGACACCAGGGTTAATTGTAGTGTTAATTATGGCAAGCACGCAGGGACCAATAGACTGGAACACATTTTTGAATAACGATGCCAGTAAAATGTCAAGTGAACAGGAGGATGCTTTCATTGCATTAACTAATTTTACCAGCTCGGGTTGTGAAACAGGTGAAAAACTTTCTAAAATAACAGGCCGAGCTGGAGTAGGAACTGACAATGCAGATGCTGATGGGGAAAAAGTTTCTTACATTACTGATTTTTTCTAGAAAGAAAGAAAGGAAATTTTCACAGTCTTCATTTGAAGAAATAGGGGCAGCAGGTGGAGCAATTCAATTCAATTCAATTATATTTATATAGCGCCAAATCACAACAAAAGTCGCCTCAAGGCGCTTCATAGATACAGAGAAAAACCCAACAATCATATGACCCCCTATGAGCAAGCACTTTGGCGACAGTGGGAAGGAAAAACTCCCTTTTAACAGGAAGAAACCTCCAGCAGAACCAGGCTCAGGGACGGGCCCATCTGCTGCGACCGGTTGGGGTGAGAGAAGGAAGACAGGATAAAGACATGCTGTGGAAGAGAGACAGAGGTTAATAACAGATCAGGAGTAATAATATCACTAATGGTGTCAAATAGGATTATTAGCATTACATCTGCTCTTTAACCTCCTAGGATCTGGCGTCCACATATGTGGACATCACATTTTGGGTTGTATAGACCAAACTACTAAATTTTGCTCTACAAGGAGCCAGATATCCACTTACGAGGACATTATACTGCCACCGTTCTATCGAAATTTAAAACAAATGTCCTCATATGTGGATCTCATTTTTCTCAGAAACAGAAATCAGGTTAAAAAAATGACATAATTCTTTCTTTTTACATTCATGCGGTCTCAAACAGCCCAAATAGCAAAGAGAAATTAAAAATGCATGCCATGAAAGAGTTCAGGTCTTAGGAGGTTAAAATTAGATGTGAAAAATAGGCAGCCTTCGCATCTCATAGGCCAGTGGTTCCCCAACTTTTTTTGCTAGGCCCCCCTTTGTTTTACAAGAAAAATGTTCGCGCCTCCTCCCCCCCTTCTCACGCGCGCACGCACATGCACAAACACATCCTCCAACCACTCACACCCATATTTTGCTCCATTGCGGTTTCTTTTACACCTCAAACATTTAGTAAACAATTAAGCAAATACAAGTGATCTGCAATAAATGACAGGTAGTAAGAAAATAAAGTACTAACTCTTTTACGCTGCGTCCACACTTACACGGGTATTTCTGAAAACGCAGCTGTTTCGTCCACACGTAAACGACGCTTCGAATCACCGAAAAAAAAATTTTAAAACTCATTTTTTTGCGTTTACGTGTGGGCGAGGAATACAGAGTTCGTCGCGCAACGTCAAAGGTATGTGCCATTTTTTACATCACGCTGTGACCACGTTATTGTTTACATGAGATGAATTGCAGAATGGCAGATAGAGACAAAATACTGTTAATCTGACTGTCTGCAGGTTTTACACGCTTACATATACACACGCAGTTACTGTCCCTCCATTTACAAAGGCAGAGGCGTCACGGTGTCATTATTTTACTGTAGTTTTTTTTTTTTTCATGTGTAATAATATTCAACATTGCTATTAATACATTTTTCAAAAAATGCCTCTCTGTGCAAAATGGGTTTAAAAACATAAGAAACTGTGGGATCCTGTTCGTCCGTGATTTGAACAGCCCAGTGCTGCTCCCGACAAAGGGAAAACCAATCTTGCAGGGAGACCTACCTCGGCACTTGTGCAGGTGAAGCCAAAGGGAAGATTTGCTTCATCATATTTTCTAGTCTTTGGCTTAGAATGAAGTTGGTTTGGAAACATAATCAGCGATGCTTCATCACCTGCTTTGCGTTTCAGTGTCTAGCAGTGTACAAGCATTTTGTTCCCCCCCTCCTTTTCATACCGCGCCCCACTGCAATGGCTCTGCGCCCCCCCTAGGGGGCGGGCCCCACACTTTGGGAAGGTCTGTCTTAGGCAACGTTCACACTGCAGGTCTTAATGCTCAATTCCGATTTTTTGTTTAAATCCAATTTTTTTTTCATCTGGTTGTTCAGACTACAAATAAAATGTGACAGCGCTCTAGTGTGAACGGTTCACGGCCCTAAAAGCGGCCCGCATGCGCAAAAGAAGACATCACACACAACGCGCTCTGTTTACGTAAGTAAAAATGGCGGCTACAGAGCTACAGTAGTAGGTGTTG